TTGTTTTATCAACATGTTGGTAATGTTTTCATGGAATCCTGTTGTTTCTCATATTGTTTTATCAACATGTTGGTAATATTTTCATGGAATTCTGTTGTTTCTCATATTGTTTTATCAACATGTTGGTAATGTTTTCATGGAATCCTGTTGTTTCTCATATTGTTTTATCAACATGTTGGTAATGTTTTCATGGAATCCTGGTGTTTCTCATATTGTTTTATCAACATGTTGGTAATGTTTTCATGGAATCCTGTTGTTTCTCATATTGTTTTGTCAACATGTTGGTAATATTTTCATGGAATCCTGTTGTTTCTCATGTTGTTTTATCAACATGTTAGTAATGTTTTCATGGAATCCTGTTGTTTCTCATATTGTTTTATCAACATGTTGGTAATGTTTTCATGGAATTCTGATGTTTCTCATGTTGTTTTATCAACATGTTGGTAATGTTTTCATGGAATCCTGTTGTTTCTCATGTTGTTTTATCAACATGTTGATAATGTTTTCATGGAATCCTGTTGTTTCTCATATTGTTTTATCAACATGTTGGTAATATTTTCATGGAATCCTGTTGTTTCTCATATTGTTTCATCAACATGGTGGTAATGTTTTCATGGAATTCTGTTGTTTCTCATATTGTTTTATCAACATGTTAGTAATGTTTTCATGGAATCCTGTTTTCCTATATATAAAAGAACTCTATGTTAAGGTGAACTTTCTTTGTAACTAGAAACAAAAATATCCTTTTTTAAATGCGTATTAATATAGATGTGTGGGTGTTGAACAGAAACCTTCTAAATAGGGTTTCCTTTCTTGTATTGTGATGAATAACTGAAATCTGATATTTGATGTTACTAATGAAAGACACTGAATTAAGATATTGATAGCAGTCATTCAGCACCACAGGTTCAAAACAATCCGTGAAAGATTTCCCGTGACTTCAGTTTTTTCCAATGAAAAACATATTGCTCAAAATGGCAACTGAATGGTCGGGGAAGTAAGCAGGACGATTACTTACAGTGGTAGGCAGCACTTCCTAAGTGACCGTGGCCATCAGTAGCAATAAATCGAGCGTTTCTCTGATGTGTTTACTATAGGGTGGGAGGCTTGAACAGCCGAGGAGAGTTATGTGAACACGGCTTCTTTTCCTCCTCGGAAGTATACAAATGACGTACAATACCTTGAAAAGTCCAAATCAGTAGCATATCTATATTGAGGGTTAATGAAACTCTATAAACATTATGTTTCATATTCGTGCTGACTTTTGAACTACATCCTTCATCGCCGTTGGGGCTCCGTCTGGTGGCCACATTAATTGTTCAGCATAACAGTTTCCATTTTAACAAGACCGGTAACCTCCATATTAGGTTACACATCTTGACAGATGATCACCAGATCCTCTGCTATATATTTACACCGACTTACATCACTTTACAGGCGAGATCGTTACAGCTATGGGTTAGTTTCAGAGTTCAATCGCTCTGCCTTGGAACGTTGTGCATATTACATTCTCGCTGTATGAATATTTATGGTTGCGAAATTCATCTCGAGTCATAAATCTACCATGGTGACATTGTACTTTCGAGTGGTGAAATTAACTACCCCACAAATCCCTCTCTCCCTAATGCGATTAACCATGTATAAGCCATCTATCTCTAATACAGTTACCCTTCTATAGATCCATCTCTCTGTTGTATGATCTCTATTCCATAAAGCCAGCTGTCCCTGGTGTCCCCACTAGATGGGTCAGTGGCTAGCTTGCGGACTTATCACGCTAACAATCGGGGTTCCATACCAACGATGGCACAGAGCAGATAGCCCGTTCTGTAGCTTTGAGCTTAGACACAAACAAATCCTAGTAGTATTAAACATCTATAGAGCCATCCATTCCTAGCACTCTTATTGTCTAAAGACATTCGAAGAGGGTTGAACAGTGATTGTGGTCAGGAAAGTCTGTTTACTAACAGGAGGGTTAAGCTCTGACTATCACGAAAGTCTGTTTACTAAAGGAGGGTTAAGCTCTGACTATCCGCCGAAGAATTTCATATTGTAGAAGCTGAAATATTCCGATGAATATTTCTTAAATAATTATTAAGTGTTGTTGGTTTTGCTTGGCCGAAAGCTGTTTTAGAATATTTACTTAAAGGACAAAGAATGTGTGTCTGTGATAGAAAAACAACGGACCCAAATTAGAACATTCTTGGGTTCGGTTATGCAGAAGAAAATATTATAATAATACATGAAGCTCATCAAACTTGTATTTGCACAAAAACGACAAATAATCGTTGATTCGCTAGTAGAATTATAACTATGAATAACAATGATAAAACTAAATATAAAATATTACTGATGGTCAAAGACAAGTACTCAGAGGAATTAAGATAACAAGATGACCGCAGAGTTTTGTGGCTTTCAACACAACACGTACTTTCGTATAACAGACTCAAAGACTAATGTATGTAGATTGAGCTGATCTCGGACTAAGACCTAATCAGAAACGTTTCCATGTCTTACAGTTAAGTTCCACAGTGGGACAACGGTAAATCTAAGGACTTGTTATGCTAAAATCCGGGGTTCGATTCCCCTCTGTGGTTACAGCATATAACTCAATGTGACTTTGCTCTAACGTAAAACCCACATACAATTAAACGTATGATTCAAAAAGTTTAATATATGTATCCAGAAACGTCTCTGTGTTTTACTGATTAACTAATAATTGTAAAATTTAATAGGTGTGTCCAGAAACGTCTCTGTGTTTTACCAATTAATTAATAACTCTAAAAGTGTAGTAGATGTGTGCAGAAACGTCTCTGTGTTTTACTGATTAATTAATAGTTCTAAATGTTTAGTAGATATGTGTACGAACGTCTATGTGTTTTACCATTTAATTAATAGCTCTAAAAGCCTAGTACGTTATATCAAGAAACGTCTACGTATATTACCATTTAATTAATAACTTTAAAAGTTTAATATGTAATGTCCAGAAACGTCTCTGTGTCTTACAATTTAATTAATGACTCGAAAAGTTTAGTGGCACAGCTGTATGTCTGCGGACTTACAACGCTAGAATCCGGGTTTCAATACCCGTGGTGGGCAGAGCACAGATAGCCCATTGTGTAGCTTTGTGCTTAATTTCAAACGAACAAACAAAGTTTAGTATATGTATGAAGAATAGCCATTAGAAAACTTCCGTTTCCTCATCCATTACTCAGGATTAGTAGCTTCATAAATTATGTCTTGTCCCACAAGATCAGTTATAAAACAAACTAAAATATAGATCTAAAACAAATATAAGGTCTAGCGAATTTCCAGCTTCGAACAGTATATCGGAGGTAGAAAATCGTTTGGTGTCTCTGACTTCAATCTTATTCCTTAAAATAGGTTACTCTAGCAGCTGGTTATTTGCTAGGCCCAACGCTCTTAAAGATTCTTCAATGTGACAACTGCCAACTCTCAAACGTGGAAACAAACTACTGAAACTATGTATATCAAACATCTCATGTTTAATTATATAATTTTCTCTTTTCATAAAACAGCTTTTTCTCTAGACTACAACAATAAAATAATATAACAAGAATACAACAGCTTTTTCTCTAGATTACAACAATAAAATAATATAACAATGAATACAACAGCTTTTTCTTTAGATTACAACAATAAAATAATATAACAAGAATACAACAGCTTTTTCTTTAGATTACAACAATAAAATAATATAACAAGAATACAACAGCTTTTTCTCTAGATACAACAATAAAATAATATAACAATAATACAACAGCTTTTTCTCTAGAGTACAACAATAAAATAATATGACAAGAATACAACAGCTTTTTCTTTAGATTACAACAATAAAATAATATAACAATAATACAACAGCTTTTTTCTTTAGATTACAACAATAAAATAATATAACAAGAATACAACAGCTTTTTCTCTACATTCCAACAATAAAATAGTTTTTGAATTGTTTATTTGTAATTAAGCACAAAGCTACACACAATGAGCTACCTGTGCTCTGCCCACCACGGGTATTTAGCGTTGTAAGTCCGCAGACATACCCCTGTGCCACTGGGGGGGGGGGGGGTTGTCGAATTGTAAATTAAACCTATAATCCTTTTTTACTAACCCAAAGCATTTTAGTCTTTTTTACAGTCGACAATTTTTTGAAAAATAATATCATCAACCCTTCTTTTTTTCTTTAGAACAAAACCTGAAAACAGTCGCTATCTAGAATCCCCTTGAAGAAAAATGAAGATCATGTCACATACTTCATAAGATTAAAGTGATAAAATATTTAAAAGTATAAATAAAATTTATTTTCTAGTGATATAAAAATCATTTCTTTACACGTAAGACTATAAGACGAAATGTTTAGTTGTTTTTAAATGTTTTCAGTTTGTTCCAAACCTAGTGAAGATATGAATGTCCGTTGGTACAGACGACTTTTATTGACATTGAATGTCCGTTGGTACAGACGACTTTTATTGACATTCTATGAACTTCTGTTTTTTGAAGCACAGTTGGCATGGTAAGTCTAAATATTTATTGAATTCCTAGACTTATTAAGTAAAGTTCCTCATTTCAGAAATGTCCAAATGCAGCTGTATCCATTTATTAATTTTCAGGTATTTGTGTATTACCTACTAATCAGCTCACTCTAATTGTAGAATCGCAATAATTCGATTGAACTAACATTAAGAGTTTACTTTTTAAGTTCTGCGGAAAACTACTCGAGGGCTATCTGAGATAGCCGTCCCTAATATACAAGTAATATACTAGAGGGAAAGGCAGCTAGTCAACGCCAACTCTTGGGCCGCTTTTTACTAAGGCCGATAGCCACCATGTATCTTTGTGCAAAATTAAAACAAACAAATCATTTTTTCTTCGCGACTCCTGTTCTTCTGTAAGAATCTCTTTTTTTTCATGTTTCCTGTTTTGTACACAGAGATTTTATTTATACACAAGATGAGTACGTTATATTAAATCGATTTTACTATGTCGTTAAAGTCCATGTCACTACATCCTGTCCTACCCTATCTGAAGATCGTGCATCTTGACAATAGCCCTGAAACGTAGTTTTCATTGCAAAAGACTCCTTAGTAGGGCTGCTATATTCCAGATTGTACAACTCCTCTTTATTTATTTTCCATAATCCATCCAGTTTAGGAGGACGATGGAAAATGGTGTTACATGCCCTTTCTAGTTGCGACCTTAACAATGAGCTACGTTCTTAACAATAGATTACGTTCTTGTGATATATCAGATTTCGTCCAAAGCTTAAACAATAGTTGACACCGACTCTACCACATTCATCAGATTTCCGTTCTGATCAACTTAGGTTTAAATTAATTTCATCGTTTTTTAGCTTTTTTTAAACTTTGACTAACTTAGATTCTTCGGCTTTAGTGTTTTTTTATATTAAAGTAGATTCTGTTACTTTTATGGTCACCTTATAAGATCGTTGATCCTGTTACTTTTGTGAATATATGAGGTTAATGTTGATTATGCTATTTTTATGAACATATGAGGTTAATGTTGAATCTGTTACATTTGTAAAGACACCATGTTAAAGTTGATTCTGTTAATTTGTGAAGACATCATGTTAAAGTTGATTCTGTTAATTTGTGACGACATGAAGTTAAACCTGGCTCTGCTACTTTCATGCTCATATGAGACTAAGCTACAGAAATTACTTGGTTTAAGAATATATTGAGACTTAATAATATACGAACTGTCGTAAATACATAATACGTAAAAACGTAATATCTATATTATTTATCAGCTACACATGTGTTTTCTCAAAATTTTTTTTTTTTACTAAAGTTAATGTGTTTCAAAAAACACGAAACGCATGAGACTTAACTACACAGTTCGAGTCATTTCATAAAAGAAATCACAGGCAACTAACACTTTAAGTTAACTAAGACTAAACAACAAGGGTTTTTCTTTATGTTAAAAAGACGTGCTGGTATCATTATGAGTAATTAACTTGTTGTTTACATGGTACTAGACACTGAGCTACATCCACCATTATCGTCTCCCAGGAATTGAGGAGCAAACAGTTGGATAACTAGACTCCAGGACCTGGAGTATTTCTAAAGCAGAATGCTAATGCTCTACTGGGTTTCCAAACAGGAATTTCGTGACGTTTTCATTTGTAATAGAAGTGGCTATGTCACAGGTGGCTTACACTTTCGATAATTTTGCATCTGTTTATACTCATTACCAGTAAACACATTAATCCTATTTTGAAATAAACTTTCTAGTAACAACAAGGGGAGTCTTTGTCAGCATAAATCAAGGGAAGTAGATGTCAATTAGTACTAACTTCTGATCAAAGTATACTTCATACACAGATCAAAACTAAAATAAATACCTACTAATGAGCACAACTCATTAACTATATTATTCCAACTATATTACTTTTAATGATGAGAATACGTTGTTTTATCAGTAGAGAATCCTTTCATATTACAAAGATGTCCACTAATGTCAATGTTTCTATATTTATATTGGTGTGGTAAATTTATCGATCTCAAATTTATAAAATATAGAAACAATAACACTTGTCTGTATGTATATGTGTGCTTCAACATGTGTCTTTAACAGTTAAGTGTACTAA